CCCCGGCCAGAGAAAAGATACATTTTTCCATTGAGTACAGCTGAAGCACTTCCAACACGGGGAGTGGGCGCTGAAGAAACTGCTTTCGTTTCCAAACTCTTTACATCTGTGGCGTCGTTAGTGCTGTACCTTGATGGCCTACTACAATGAGGGGAAGCAATACCAGACTTGAGCGAGAAAATATCGACTTTATCATCCAGCGGCTCCCTTGGCTTCACCTCACCACCGAAGATGCAGACATGATCGTCGATAACGGAAAGGACTTGAGAAGATCGGCGCAGACGTTCGTCGTCGAGAAGACGCTTCCAAGAGCCTTTGAGCGTACTGATGGGCATCATAGGCATCGTGGCAATCTGTGAACTTTGAACTGGAACGGACAGTAATTGATTGTGTAGAACTTGTAGTCCTAGATTAGTGATATATAGCTCAGACCAAAATCGAGGATTGCGTCATGTGCGGGTGGTAATACACCTGCTGTTTGCAGTGACATGCCGGTGAATCTCCCAAGGTGGAGAAGGGGCTAGGCAAATGGGGCTAGCGTCGAACGCAGGGATCGTCATCGCCCTAGCTCCTTCCAAAAGTTCGCGACCATCGCATTTGACGCGCGAACACATGCGCCTCAACACGCCATCATGAGGCTTCGACTGACGGTCCAGCGGAATGGCCTACCTGCCGCCAACATACTATGGAGCGTGCCCGAGACGAACAGCACTCAGGCATACACCATTACGCGTCTGCTCGAGGATGTCAACCACATTATCCCGCTAGAGGCAGAGCACTGGGGCCTGGAGCACTATGTCGTCGAGGTGGGCGGCTTCGAGTGCCTGCACTTTATGCCCGTTGCGAATGCGCTCAAAGAAGACGATCATGTCTCGTATGTAATTCTAGAATCTCTACACTGATATCTGCTAACAGCCTACCAGCATCCGCCCACTCATGACTGCCGAAGTGCGCGCGCGCACCCTCACCGGCCGTGATCAAATATCAGACGGAGGCCAACATCTCGTCGATGGCGTTCCCTTCGGTCGACCCTACCTGCGACAACCAAATCGACCTGCTGTTCGCATACCTCCGCGCAAACGACGCCGACTGGACGATGGGCGGCCCGACGACGATACTGAAGCTGTGGGACTTCTTACGGAGCATGGAGAATCACCCGAAGCGCGCGACGATGTTGCGACGCTGAACGGTCACAAAGGGTCGGGGAATAAAGCATCAAGGTCACAACGGGCACTCAGGTCGGTGCAGTTCAAGCAGCCAGAGATTGATGATTCGGACGACAGCGAGGAAGACGATGATGATTTTGCACCCGAAGAAGCAGAGGAGGATGCTTCCTCTTCACACGACTCGGAGTCGGACTCAGACTCGGATTCCGACTCAGAGGCAGACGCAACGGCAAAGGCAAAGGCAGATGCAAAATCGGACGCGTCGTCTAGCGCCTCAGATACTTCGGATTCCGATTCAGACACAGACACCTCAAGCGATTCCGACTCCGACTCCGACGATAGCGACGCAAGCTCCCCGCCCGATGTCTTGTCTTCCAAAGACGGTCGCAAGACCAAAGCAGCCACAACGCATGTACCCCCCGGAGATGGACTCAAAGCTACAAAGCTGAGGAACTCGCGACGTACAAGAGCTAATCGTCTGCGTAGTCTCAAGGCGTCGGGCAAGCTCCCCGAAACCGCTACGTTCAGTGACCTGGCCGCCTACGAAGAAGGCAGGTATGGTATGGATGAGGAAGAACCTCAACACACACAACCTTTTGCCAAATCTCAAGGCAAGAGAAAAAGGTTAGACGAAGATGAGCCCGCAGAAGAGGTCGCGGAAGACATAACAGAGCTGGAGCGAAGGAAACGGGACCTGATGGCGAGGTTCGGAGAAAGCACAGAAGCGATGGCACCAGTGGGCGAGGCCATGCAGCCAACGACCTCGGTCGTCGAGAAGGCCACTATCACCCCAGTGGAAGAAGAGCCACCAGCGAAGAAAGAGCCTACTTCCAGAAGAATGCGACCAGACACCCGCGCCATTGGTCGGATACTTGCTCGACAGGCTGGACCTGTTCGGAAGACAAAAGCAAAGGCACCGACACCTGAGCCTGAGGAGTGGTCGAATCCTGATTTCTGGAAGACACGGATCAATCTCTCGGCATTTGAATGCTGGGAAGAGGATTTTGAGCTCAGCGCTCCACCCTTTCCGTTTCAGCAGCACTGGGATCCAGCCAGCAAGCTTATGCATGACAAGGCTAGGAAGAAGAAGCAAAAGAGGCGGAGTAATGTGCAGCAGGAGGCAACGCCAGTAGAAGAGGAGGAGGAGGAAGAAGAGAAGATCATCTTAGACTACGACGATGCTCCCATAACGAACCCCGACTCTGAGTCCATCAACGCAGCCGTCGAGGACCAGTTGCGTCAAGATGTCGCAATGGCTGCGCAGTCTGATCTGCCACCACTTCCTGAAGACATGAGCACCCTGCCAGATCTCACGTCGTCCGACATGAAGGCTGGTGCTGTCATCGCCTGCAAATTCTTTACTGTAAATCCCGTCACCGTTACACCCGAGATTAGCGGATACAAGACAGCTACCGTAGAGCAAGAAGGCGACTCAGGCCCTGGCGCGGGTACGATCCAGCTCAAGATTGCTTTGCGCGATCTCCCAAAGAGGGAGAAGAAGTTTGACAGCAAGGGCAATCGCATCTACAACGCGGCCGATGCTCTCCTCATGGAAGAGGACGACGAGGATGAGGGCTTGTGGGAAGGCTCCTTTGGCGAGCTTCTAGAAGCGAAGCTTGTGAAGGCTGCGTAAGTGATACCACGAGGCATGTGTCGTTGCTTGGTCGACCATTCGTGTGGATATCGGCCAGATGTAATACCCTGTATACTGCTTCATCGTACGTGTTTCAATATACCCAATTTCATCTACTTTTGACATTTGGATATGTGCACGGTCCGCGAATCCGAGTGTGTTGTGGTGAACTGGGGTTTGGTGAGGTTACCCCACCAAACGTCATGCAAACCCCTCCAGCACGCCAGGTCCAGAAGCTGCAGAGCTGACAGCCACCGGCACTACTCACTACCACGGGATAAGTTTCCCATGGCGAGCGTCTCATGTACACAGGGTCTTTGCCTGCGTTTGATGTTTCCTACACGCCTTCGCCCGCGGTGCGATTTCCCTTCGGAGCAAGTTGCCCGCGCACGCTATTCCTCGGCGCCCCCAATTCAGGGTCTTAGCCCCAAAATTGTAACTGCCGTGGCCCACTAGCTTCATGATTAGACGCGGACGGGTACGTTATGCCATGGAGAGCGACGAGGCCGTGTACAAATTTTCGGCAGATGCGTCCCGTCTCGTCATCTTATTGCTAAGCCTCTAGCCAAACTACAGCATCATCGTGGCTGACAGACAAAGTATCGCATAGCAAAAACCACCACATCTCATGTAAGTGCTGATGCCGCGATAGTGCCACGACATGCTAACCGTCGTACAGAACTAGACACAATGCCTCTTCCCACTGGTGTATATCGGGCCGACCACGTCGGCTCCTTCCTCCGACCCAAAGCCGTCCTCGAAGCGCGAACAAAGGCAGCCAACGGTGAGATCACCGCCGACGAGCTCCGCAATGTCGAAGACGAACACATCAAATACGTCGCAAAGAAGCAGATAGAGAGCGGTCTGCGATCCATAACCGACGGCGAGTTTCGACGCGCATACTTCCATCTCGACTTCCTCAAGCACGTCGAAGGTATCGAGGAGAAGGGTCAGGTGGGAAACATCAGGCACAAGGATGGCTTCTCGCCACCAACACTGGTCGTAAAGGGAAAGCTGGCCCATCCCGAAGCCATCCAGGTTAAGGACTTCCAGTTCCTTGAGCAAGCGATCAAAGAGAACGGCGGTAAGGCGAGCACAAAAGTCGCCATCCCATCGCCAACAATGGTGCACTTCCGTGGTGGACGCGCCTCCATCGACATCTCCGCATACCCCGACCTCGATGTCTTCTTCGAGGACCTCGCGCGCGTATACCAGGAGGAACTAGACAGCCTGTACAAGGCCGGCTGCCGCTTCGTCCAACTCGACGACACCAACCTGGCCTACCTGTGCGACCCCGACATGCGCAAAGCCGCCGAGCAAGAACGCAACGAAGACCTCAGCACCCTCCCCCGCAAATACGCCGAACTCATCAACAAGGCCATCGAGAAGCGACCTGCAGACATGAAGATCGGCATTCATCTCTGCCGTGGCAACTACCGCTCCAAGTGGTTCGCTTCTGGCGGCTACGAGCCCGTCTCCGAAGTCCTCTTCAAGGAGCTCAACGTTGATGCTTACTTCCTCGAGTACGACGATGCGCGATCTGGCGACTTCTCCCCGCTGCGCCATCTGCCCGAGCACAAGGTCGTTGTGCTCGGTGTCATGAGCAGCAAGAAGAACACCCTAGACGACAAGGAGGAGATCATCAAGAGGCTACATGAGGCGGCTAAGATTGCCCCCAAGGGTCTCGATCAGCTTTGCGTCAGCCACCAGTGTGGATTCAGCTCCACAGCTGAGGGTAACGAGTTGACGGAGGAGGAGCAATGGGCCAAGGTCAAGCTGAGTGTAGAGATTGCCAAGCAGGTCTGGGGCGATGACATTAGCAAGTAAGAAGAGTCTTGTTTCGGTTGGGGGAGTTTGTGGTGCTGGTACTGAGATGAAAGCATGAGTACGGTGTTGTGTAAAAGTGGTCTGATCAGGTCTCAACGACTGATCCATGTATGTATTATGAAGTAACGGTTCAACCCCAGTGAAATTCAATGTATCAAATATAACAACATTGCCCTGTCGTCGCATACTACTGACACAACGAATGGGTGAAAGTAGGAGGCCTTCTGCTCTGCAGTTTATAGATCTCGTATGGTATGACTTCCATTTGCCATAGTAATAGCTACGTGTTGAGCTTTTACTTAGAAGGTAAGTATGAGATCTAGCTCATCTTGCTACCCTAACCACAAACTGTCAAAGATGTTGCCTTTGCTGTTTCAGTTCCCTTCTGCCTCTACAGCATACCTCTGTAAGTCGCTCTCATACGTTTCTCTCATCAACCCCAGAACATCAAAAAAGCAGACTTCGAAGTACTTTGGACGACGATACAACTGATTTGCGCGCACGCGAAGAACGTGAAAGTGGGTTATCATAGCATCGAGTAGCACATTGACGTTGTCATTATAGGCGTAGTTCCCGCTCTTGTTTGCGTGGCGGTTACGGCAAGCGTGGGGAAGTACGGTCGGTGTGAGAGGCCCGCGTTTCTGGTAATTGCAACCGATGTAGATGTGCCAGAGCGGTAGCTTCCTCAATCCCTGGTATATTGACTTCCATGATCTATCCGTTAAGGTCACTCCAATTGCCTCGAAAGACACCAGATTCTCGGCGCGATTGAGAAATCCCCGGAGTCGGCTACCGCTTAGGTACAGATCGGAAAGCTCCAGAGATTGCAAATGCTCATACGAGCGGGCCATTATGTGTTTAGAGAAGAGACTTTCGCAGCCGTGACATATACGAAGCTCGGGCATGTCATTGCATCCTTGGAGTTGTAGGCGTTCAACACCAGTAGTGGCAGCAACAACCTCTAATACATCCGGATGGACCGGGCGCACATTCTTGATGTGAGCTCCAACTTCGCGACTCTTTGCAACATCTTTACCGTAAGCCTTTGGTGTTAGGAAGATAGCTTTCTTGATCCAAGGTCGAAACTCCGACAATGAGTCTGCAAACAGCTCCCATTCGGGCTTCCGAGAGTTCTCGAGCCAGAGGTAGACAAAGGCGATCTTCTCTGGAAATCGCGACAACTGCAAGGCTCGCAGTACAGTTGTCTGCTCGCCGACGATGCAATTTCCATATGGTAGCTCCAGTTCGATGAAAGAGTCCGCGAATCGTAGTTGGCGGAAACATTGGGCGAGCATATGGGCGGCTTCACCAGATCTCACAAAGCTCTGCTCGTCCTCGTATAGCAGATACCACTCGTAGTCGCTTATCGTCGTGGGTTTGGTGAGCGCGCATAGATTTATGTGCGCCATTCGACTGCGGAAGGCGGGGATACGGGACAAGTGTAGGAAGAGAGCAAGCGACGACGGCTCGAGATCAAAGCAGCATTCCTGGAGGCCATACCGAATGCTTGCGTCGAATTCCGTTCTAGCGTAGATGGCTTTGCATGTCGATCGCAGCGATCCAAAGTCTCTGTTCTTGTATGAATACTTGTCGTTGTTGGTACCCGACGCTCGTCCGAGGAAGCGACATACTCGGCTGAGGAGCTCTACTGGAAGCTCGATCAAGTCCATTTTGTGTTTTCGCTGGTGGTATGATCCAGAATATTGCCCTATGTACTCTCCAGAGGGTCAGCCAAATGATGCTAGGTTGAGGGATGTTGACCGAACGTAGAGAGCCAGAATTATTGTAGTCCCGGGGCCAAAAGCAGCCGCTGCCTAGGTGATAAAGCCTGTCCGTGCGCACACGATGACTCCATGATTTGGTCAAACCATCAGTGAATATTGTCGACTATTCTGGAGTTGCTCTACGAGTTACGGTCATGAGGATGCAGCCTAAGCTCTCAAATCTGTCTGTCATGCGCGCACTGGTAACACTATGTGACCGTGTATCAAAGGAATACGACTGAACCTGGAGAACACGCATGATATCCTTCAGGTGCATGTGCAGAGAGATGAAGAGAGAAGGAGCAGCCAGGAAGAGCGGAGGGGCTGATGTCACGGCGCCAGGCCGGAAGGGAATGCCGCTCTTTCCTTACTTGCACTTGAGCAGGCATTCCATACACAAACTACTAAAAAAAAAACACGGAAACTAGACATGGAAACTATGTTTGTCTGTGCTTGCGTCGCTGGCTTCACATCAAGGACCCATGGTCCGAGGGAAATGTTCTCCCGTTTTCCGGCGCTTCTATCGACGTCAGCAGCCACACGTTCCCGCAAGTGCGCTGACGCATGCTAAGTAGCAAACATAGAAAGATGTTCCCGAGATGAGACTCGCTAGAAGTGCGCTAGAGGTAAGCTTCTACGACTTGTACACAGAGGTAAAGAATGGACACACAATGCTCATGTCGTGATGATAGACTTTTGGGACGAAAGTGACTTTACATTAATTATGCAAACGACTGTAGAGTGTAGCTGTGAAACCGAAACATGTCCAACCATGTAGTAATGACTGTCCTGAGACCTTCCAAAGCTCTACAAATATTGCCATCGTCCTTGACACTCCTCCTCTCCTCCACCCACAGATATCGCTCAGCCTCAAGGGCTATCGACCTTACAGTCCCCGGATTCAGAGGCTATTTAAGCAGCAGCGTTCTCGCCGCGGGCAAACCTGAGGTTCCTCTTGGTGATGCCGTCGGTAATGCCCTGGTACTTGGCGATGCAAATATCAAGAGTTCCGGTCAAGGACATTGCTTCTTTCTGGAGGTCTGCGGCGCGGGCCTCAAAGGTATCGATCAACATGAACGCAATCGTCTGTAAAATGCGGTTAGTCATCTGGCCATTGGATAACTTTTGACTCGAATCCGGTAAGGGGTGGATGCTACGCCCTGCGAAAAGAAAGACTTACGTCCACGACCTGCTCGATCTGCCTGAGTACGGCGGAGACTGGCTGACCGATGAAAGGAACAGTCTGGAACAGACCAGCCTTGCCAATAAGGATGTTGAGGAGCGCTTGGTGAACACGGACAAACTGTTTCTCTGCGTAAGCTACATATAGATCTCAATGGGATCAGACAATACTAACCTCGCGGAAGGCCTCAAAGACAGCATCGGTAGAAGCACCTGCGGGCTCTCTGGGCATGCCCTGCATCTGGGCGATGGCGGTGGTGGCGGTCGTCACAATGTCTGAGAAGCCGAGGATGATTTTAGGAAACGGTCCCTGTCCGATCAAGACCAACGGTCCATTGACGACGCTGATCGATTGAGCTGGTGACTGCAGCGCCTGGCTCTTCTGCGTGATTGACTTGATGTTGGTGACAACCTCAGCGGGCGTGATAGCAGCCGAGATAGGCACGGAGAAGGCCAAGGCGGCGGTGAAGAAGTTGCGGAATGAGACCATGATTGCGGTGGTAAGAAGCTGTGAAAGCGGTTGTTGGTGGTAGATGGTAGAAGTGAGGAGTGATGATTGCAGATGAAGGTGTGCGATACCTTCTTTTCATGGGAGACTGCGGTGTCTTTATACCCGACGTGCGATGTAGCCAAGCTCGAGTCAACGAAGCAAATGCTTCCCGTAGTCCTGAACGACAACTAGGTTCGCTGATCCTCCTGTACACCGCGTTGAGATGCCAATCAAGCCCGTAACCCAGAAGGTGGGGGATGTAGTGTACGCCACTGTCGAAAGAACAAAGTTTAATGACAGGTGAGGCTATGCACTACAACCCACTTTGTCTTGACCGAATGCACTCAGATATTTGCATGTAGGCCTCTGGATCAGTCGGCGAAAGTTTCGTGGACGTTGATCATAAGAGGTCCTTGACAGTAGTATGGCATAAGTTGACATGCTTCATCATATCGTGTTGAAGCAGCTTTCAACTATCGTCGGTAACCACTCTGCTCTCAGCATTGTGGTTGATGTTACCTCACAGTGATCATCGACAGGGTCTACCGAGCTCGCCTCTGGCAGAGAGATCTGCCATGATCCATCGCCGAGTGGGGCTTTTGCGGCTGAATCTGCACATGGCATTGCGATCATCGATTTCCACTACTCTCATCTAATACATGATCAACAATTTACTCCCAGTGGATCAAGAGACGCCGTATTGGGTAGAGAGCACTAACCGATCTCAGGGCTAAGGGGCTCATGTCACTTCCCAACTTGCAGGGTGAGCTCAGACTACCCCAATCGCTTCACCGCGCCAAGATTAGCCTTGCAGTAGCATAGTAGATCGCTACCTTCTGTGAACAAGGCTTCTTGTCGACATGCCCGAGTTCAGCTGAGGTTGTTCAGTTAGTAGCTCTTTGTTGGCAAGCGGCGCCCCACTGGAAAGGGTGTAGTGTAGTAGCGGTATCTACGGGTCGGCGATCCTTCTGCGGGCGTAGCCGTCGAACATCAGTGCGATGATGCAGCCGCCCGACATGCAGAAGCAGGCACCTACGATCGTCCAGTCAGAAATCCCAGCAACGAAGTAGGGTCGCCGAGCCTTATGCAGATCTGCTTTTTCCATGTCCGGAGCGGCCGCAGCCAATGCCAAGTCACGTGGAGGCCTTCGTTGCCCCTTGTGTAGATGGCAATCTAGTCTCACAATGTACAACGGCATGCATGTGACTACCTGGAAAAGGGAAATGCGACATGTTCGCTGCGTGGCGCGGTCCGCCAAAAGCAATACAAAGGGTCCGGCTGATGTGTTGTTGTTTCTTTTGCCCAAGTCAGGGCTCGGAATAATGCCGAGCCCGCTGAGTCGTGGACGCTCGCCGACACTAGCCGTACAGACAGCTCCTACACTTTGGCGAGGAGCTAGCTCCTGTGCTTGTTATGGTAACTCAACTTCGGCGACTTCGCTGCACAATTTCTGCTGATTTGTAGCAACCGCAATACTCAACACATGTCGATTAGGAAATGAGAGACATGGTATTAAGAGTGAATGTCCAGATAGGTATAAACCGGCCGATCCTTCCTAGATAGCTACGTCAGCTCAAAGTTTAGTGAGATCGTACCTTAGGCCAGCACCATTAGCCGCAAAAACCACCGGTATATTGCCGGCGTACTTGATGTGATGCCAGCTTGTGCTTAACCACCAACTAATTGCAGAGGCGCATTTGCTGCGGGTATTCACTCGCGGCCGTTGTGACCAACCCTGCAAGCTACCAAACTTCTAAATAGCCTCCATGAACAAAGCAACAAGAACGAAAAAGCATGTTGGCAATTTACACCAGCAGAAAGCACGATGCCGGATGTTCCGTACTGTCTGCACTGCAATGTAACTTGCGCATGCCTAGACGAATGGCTTTGACACAGGACGCTAGACTCCACATTCTGACGAAACTGGGCAGAACTCACACTGATGTCGTACTGAGTCTGGCTCAGTACTCTGATTAATTCTTAATGGCTTCTTTCATGTACGAGCCAGTCTTTTATGAAGTCGGCCGTACTTACAGACCTCCAAACGGACTACGGCCACGTACAGCAGTGAGTGGAAGACTCGCCATGAACCTCAATTACAAGGGCGTGTGCATATAACATGCCTGGGTAGTCCTCAACTAGGGGCTCAGACACCAACCCCATCATTAACGCACCAACAAACGTCAAGCAAAGACCATAAACGAGACAGTCCTCATCCATGTGATGGCGCCACAACGTCACCTCAATATCGAACTCCGCCAACAAGAATACGATCCAGCTCTCTATCCCTCAGGTGTCACGAAGTCGTAAGGCGCCTCCGCATGACAGCATCTACCATTATAGATGTTTGGTCGAGGCTAAGCGCCTAGTCTTCCGAGCAGAACGGCACCTTCTACTTCCAGCCTCCCGCCCGTGTTTCTTTACTTTTTCGTTCTTTGCAATTACAGAGCGGGCTTTCGTAGCTCCTCTCGCTGCCGTCGGAGGGGTTGAACCGAGTTGCAAGCGCCTTGCTATAAGACATAGAAAAGCAAACACTGACAGACATGATGAAGGCTAGCCAAGACAACATCGGTTACCCTTAGGTCACTGCAAGACAGCTGTCAGTGTGTAGCGCATACTTACGATGTTGTCACTGTTCTGAAATTGTTCCTATGTTGAGCAAGCGGTGCTACCGGAAGCCTTATTCCCAAGGTTGTTATTACATCCATATGCTCTTAGTAGAGCTTCCCCAAAATCTGAACGCCAGCATATCACACAGGCTAAATGAAATTAACGCCCCCAGAACGAGGTCTGCATTCAATGTGGCAGATGACCCATAGCCCTCATGCAGTCGGCAGACGTGCCAACAACGGTAGGACGTCTTTGAACCTCACTGGCTTGAGAAGGAACTCGTCAAAACCGCTATTCTTCGCTTGCTTTCGCGCTTTCTCGCTACCAAGACCCGTTAACGCGAAGATGTACGCCCGGGTACCTCTCTCTTCCTCTAGAGTGCCATCTAGACCATGTTTCGCAGCGTCATTGAACTGTCTTGGTATCTCTTTTCCCATCAAACAGTGTTCGATTTCACGAATCTTTGACACGGCCTGGAAGCCATCCATAACTGGCATGCTGATGTCCATGAAAATGCAGTCATAGCTTGCTTTTGAGTCGTCTTGCTCAGTGGCGGTTTGATAGAGACGCACCGCTTCTGCGCCGTCGGTGGCACTGGAATATGGTACGCCGAGGCGTTTTGCAAAGGCGCAAAGCATTTTTAGATTTATGGGGTTATCGTCTACCAAGAGCAGACGGCGGAATCGGCATGTTGGGCTGCTTGTAAGCGGGGTAGGTGCTTGTGTTGGTAATGGTGCTTGTAGAGCAGGACTTGTGGCGGCGTCGGCTAGTGTCACACGCTGCAACGATAAGCTGCGGTGTGGAAGTACTTTGGTTTGCGGGTCTGGCTCTAGGATTGTGTCGGCATGTTCTAATTGCTCTGTTGGCTCCATGTTAGGTCTGCTTCTGACTTCTATGGACGGCACCGAGTCTGCCATCTCCTTGTTAGTGGCATCCTTCATAGCCGAGATGAGTGCAGGTCCGAGCGAGTTTGCAGTGACTAGTACTGTGTGCATGGGCTTGCTAGTGCCAGATTCTGGAGGTGCGCCTTTAATATTGCGCAGATCGACCATGACCGGGTAGGTCCCTCCCGTATACGTAGGGAACAAAGTTTTCAAGTCGTACGTGGGTGTCGAAGAGAGGGCATGGTGATCGATGAGGAGTACATCCAGAACCGGGAGTGTGTCTGTGGAAACAGTGGTGAACCTCATGCCGAAGCGATCCTCGCAGATATTTTGAACGGCCCGCTCCAGCGCTTCGGGAGGCGAATCGATAGAGGGTGCAAATTCTTTGCCTTGCTCTTCGGGTAGAGAGAGACTAAGCATACCGATTGCCTTTCCGCTGAGGCATTCGTGAGAGGAAACGCTCTCTCTACGTGGCGCATTTGGTCTCTGCGCCTTTTGACTAGCCGGAATGTTGATGATGATCTTCGTTCCCTTGCCCAAACGACTAGAGACTGATATAGTTCCGTGTAGTGACTCCACGATGCTTTTCACTAAGCTCAACCCTAGCCCAGTTCCTGGACTTAGTAGATTCTCCTGAGTAAAGGGTGTAAAGAGATGGTATTTGAGGAAATCCTCACTCATGCCTACACCCGTGTCGGTCACAGAAAGACTGATGTGTGGCTGACTGTCATCGGCAGCCTCCACGAATGCTAGACCTACGTGAATGTAACCCGACTTGGTATACTTCAATGCGTTGCTGACCACATTAAGTAAAATGCGCTTCCAAGCACCCTTGTCAATGACAAAGGTCCAATCACGGGCCTTTTCAATGTGTGTGGTGACGACGACAGGCTCGGATTGTGCCGTTGCGGGCGATCCAGCCAACGAATCTTGACGCTCTTTATCGAGTCCAGAAGAGAGGCGCGAAGAATGGTCATGACCTACGGAAACAGTCCCAATGACATCCTCGACCATAGAAGCCAAGTCGACAGCTACTGCACCGTGATGAACGTGGGTGGTGGAACGAGGATGTTCATTTTCGCCTCTTTGTCCAACGCTGGCGCGGCTATTCACTTTGGAATATTCCAACAGATGGTCAAATGTATCGAGAAGAGTAACCGCACAAGACTCAATCATGGAGATCTCCGACATCAAACCAGATCCCTGGCAGTTTTCTTGGATCAGCTCAATGCTGGCCAAAATGCCATGCAAGGGACTTCGTAACTCGTGACTGATGGTCGAAACAAAATCCGACTTGGAAAGTGTATTTTCGCATGCTTCTAAGCGAAAGACCTCAGCCATCAGTGAGTTACCGAAAGCTGTCAATGAATTGACATCGCCAGTATCAAGTGTTTTGCCTGTGTCAGATACCCAAGCTAGGCAGGTAGAGTAGCAAGCTTCTCTTGAGTAGTGAAACATAGGCAGGAATATTACGTAGCGGGTCTTTGGCAATAAACTGAAGAGGTCATTCCATCTGTCATCCGCAGCAGAGTCAAGTTCGTCATCGCAATCGTGTTGGAAGACCCCATGTTCATCGACTGCGAAGACATGCCCTCGAGGGTACTTGGCAGTCAAGCGCTGGATGAGCGACTGACGCAATTTCAGATTTCCGTGGGCGTTATCTCTGTGGTAATACGAAAGAGGTACCGCAAAGAGATCGCATGTTGGCGAAGATGTATTGTCAGGAGACATGTCTCGTACCTGGCAACCTTTGTTTCGGGCGCCAGTTGAAACAGTGTCAAAGAAGACTAGGCCATCCAGACCCATAGCATCGCCAATACTATCTGCGGCTCTCATGAAGAGAGTGTCGACTTGAGTAGCAAAGTCAGATTTGACCCGTTTCGAGACATTATCTTGGGGCGAAACGATAACAGATGTATCGCAAACAGGCAATGACTGGACATGGTCTGACGTGGTGACGCTTGCATTCGTACCGTCGGACAACTTCTTGTCAGGTTTTCTTCGCGAGGCGGCGCCAAAAACATCTAGGTCGAATTGGCTTGTGTGAGCTCCAGGGCGCACAGGGGCCACAGACCTTGGAACCATGTCATCTGAAGCTACGAAGCGGCGAAGACCTTGCATCATCTCAGCAGATCGAGACTTACAAGCTTCGGCGCGTCGCATATCGAGGTATGCACTGATAGCCGAGGTAGTTTCGCGAAGAGTGCTCAGAGACTTGGGATGCAGAAAGTCCCGTTCTTTAGTGTCAACAACACAGTAGCTGCCCAATATGTGCCCAGACATTGCAAACAGCGGTATCTCGAGGTATGAAACCATATGCGGGTAGCCAGCCACGAACGGGCGCTCGGCAAATGTGGGAACCTGGCGAAAGTCTTTTATGCAGAAATACGACTTGTCGGCAATGATGTAGGGACTTTCCGGCATAGGCACTGGTTTGCCCTGGAAGATGCACATGGTGAATGGGCACACGCCCCATTCGAGGGCGATCCGGGAAGTACCCAGCAAGAGCGGCTCGGCCGGGTCTGCACTCGAAAGCGACTGGTGCCTCGTCATCTCTGCGCATATGAATTGATTTCGATTATCAATGAGCGAAAGGAATGCGCGATCGCAGTCCATCTTGTGCACGCCATGCTGGACGAGGGCGTTGAGGGTTATGTCGCTGCTGGGGACTGGTTCGGACGGCGGTCCTTCTGCGATGTGGAAAGGGAACGACGCGGCAGAGAGATATCTAGGGCCGTGTTAGCAACAGGAATCGGCAATGTGACGTCGGCTGGCAATTCTCACGCGGCGATCTCGTATGCGCGTACCCGTTCGTGGTTATCGATAGCTGCGGGTGGCGTCGTGGTCGAGATGGGCGTGGTCGTAGCCATGGTCCATATTACGTCACTCACATGAATTGAAGACTGCTGGTGCTGCTTGCGACGTTTGCGCGGGTCCCCGATGTCTTCTGGGCTTTGGCACGTCGTCTTGGCGTTAGTCAGCCAACACATAAACGGCCCGTAAGACCAAGGCTGCGAGGCAGGTACGGCTTAATTTTCCGTCAAATTCATCGGATCGTGATGTCTCAGGGTAACGCTAGCCTAACGCGGATTCCACGGCTGCATAAGGCTAGACGCTCAGCGACGCGTACTCGTCGCACACCTCAGTCAACTTCTTCCTCGTCCCGGGCTCCATTACACTATGCCCAGCATCGTCTATGAAGTGCAATCTACTCTCCGGCCACTGCTTGTACAACTCCCACGCTGTAATCGGCGGGCAGACAACGTCGTACCTGCCCTGCACGATGGTCGTCGGAATGTTCCGGATCCGATCCACATTCTCCTTCCTCAACAACTGCCCGTCCTCCATCCAGGCTTTGTTGATGAAGTAGTGGATCTCCATCCTCGCATGTGCGAGCAGATAGGCTGGATCTTTTAGTTTCTTGTACGCTTCTGGATCGGGATACAGGGTGCTGATTGAGAGTTCCCACGTATTCCACGCGGCTGCCGCGGGATGACTAATGGACGAGTCCGAAGACATGAGACGCTTGTGGTAGTTCTTAATATGATCAGAACGTTCTTCCTCTGGTAAAAAGTTGATAAAGTCCTCCCAACGGTCGGGGAACAGCATCTGCACCCCGCCAGCATGGTTGGTCCACTTGAGTTCGACGTCGCGCACTGTGAAGATGCCACGCAGAACCAGACTTCCTACGCTCTCGGAGTGTGTCTGCGCATATGCGAGGGCAAGTGTGGAACCCCAGGAGCCGCCGAACACCATGTGCCATTTGGAGATTTCCAGGTGCTTGCGCAGCTTTTCAATATCGTCGACGAGGTGCCAGGTAGTGTTGTCTGTGGTGTCGGCATTAGGGCGCGATTGACCACAGCCTCGCTGGTCGAGTAGTATTACTCGGTATTCAGAGGGGTTGAAGAAGACGGTGTTGGTTTTGGAGCAGTTCCCGCCAGGCCCGCCATGAAGATAGATGACTGCAAAGCGTTAGCCGTTAGGGAAACTGGGCAGGATGTCTGGCACATCTACCAGGCTTTCCATCCTTCTTGCCGAACTGTTGATAGTAAACTTCATGGGTATCGTCCACGCGCAGCCAATTCACGTCCCAGGCATCTTCATGCTCGTAGCTGGTGAACTGAGGTGCTTGAGCCATGTTGCCTAGATAGTAGCCAGTATATTTCACGACGAGACAATAAGATACAAACAACCTTTGTAGTCGACGTGTGGACAGTCATGCGAGTGGTGGAGTCAGAGATCTAGCTGCGACTACCCCGCTTCCAGTGTAGTGGCCCCGCTGCATGAAGAACACCTTCCTATTCTGCTCCAGGCATACGGCGCACTAATCGCAACAAGTGTTCAGAAGATGAAAATGATACGTTGCTATTCGTACTAGACATTATGAGATGTACTGCACAACAATGACTTTGGCAACAAAGCCTAGTACTTGAAGCCACCTGCCCGTGTACTCCACAAGCCGTTCGGGTCCACACTCTTCTGCAATGCCTTGAACTTGTCGTAATCCTTATAGCTCTGGAAGACTGGTTGGTCCCACATGGCATCGTTGATGAACAACGGCATGTACATGTCGCTTGGCATACCCGCCTCTGCTATCCATTGAGGCACGACCTTGTCCAACCAAGCCGTCAATTCCCTAGCGATGCCAAACGCAAGAGGATCATCTGTGGGCAGGTTCCACGCTCCTTGGTAAATTAGGATGATGCGGTCAGGGTCGGAGGACGAGAGACCCATGGCGTTTCCACCCTTGGACTCGGACATCTTTCCAAATCGGGATGGAAGAGGTTGGAAGTCAACGCTGAACTGGATGGCGCGAACGACAGGTAGGGTGTTGAGGAAGATGCCAGTGAGTTCAGCGAGCTTGTCGCGAATCTCCTTGTACATCTGGGGCCGGGATGCAATGTATGGAACGGTGTAAGTGCGGAAGAACGCGCGGGCGTTCAAGAGTCGAACTGGCTCGCCGTTTGCCTTCAGCTGTGAGCTGTTAGTTCTTGCACAGCACATTGAAGTTAGGATGTAGACTTACTAGCTCAGAGTACTTTTGCGTCTTAGGTAGACACAAAGGGTTCACGATCTTGAAGAAATCGGCAAATGGACCCGATGTAGGTGGCTTGGGGTTGTCGTAAAAGGAAAAGAGAATTTTCGTCTTGATTCCAGCTGCGACTACGAGGTCTGTAAGGATGATGGCTGCCTTGGGGTCTTCGGCACCGTGTGCCATGAAGTTGTGCAAAGCAGCGTATAGTGCGTCGGACTTTGAGTCGTCGAAGACACATGAGCCACCCCAGACGTCGCCCATGTGATGGACTTTAGTCTTGAACTGGGTGACAATACCGAACTGGCTACCGGAACCACGCATAGCTTGCGCAAGGTCAGGATGCTCCGCGGCATTGACGTTGACGACAGATCCGTTCGCCATAACAGTCTCCCATTCGATGATGTTCTATCACTTGTTAGCATAGCTACCATTTGCATATGGCGGAAAACTGACATCAGCTGCAAGACCCTCTTGAGCACCGAGGAACGAAAGACCTCCACCCAGCAGCAGACCACCGACACCAACGAGACCGAGTCGTCCTCCAGCGATTGCCACGCCGCTCTTCTCAAGGTCGCCAATGACGTCGTTCCACTCGCCTCCGGGTCGGACATAAGCAACATCTTCTGCTGCGTCGTATGTCGCTCCGACTAGGTTGGTCATGGTGATGAGAACACCGTCTTCGACTGCAGCATGCTGCTTGTTCGGATCGTGACCTCCGCTTCGTGTAGCAAGTTTGACAGTAGGGTACTTGTTCAAGATCTTGATAGCAATGGACACATCTTGGGCAGAGTCTGGTTGAACAATGCATGCAGGATCGACTTCCCGGAGGTTGGTAGCCCAGTATTGCTGCGTCTCATGTGCGTATTCGAGCTTGAGAAGTCCCGGAGTGAGGACTTTGCCTGGAAGAGCATTGTTGATTTCGTTACATGCTTTAGTAGTGGCCTCTGTGGGAATAGCAAAGGTGGATTGGGCTCCTAATAGGAGAGTCGCAAGAGCGAGAGACGTGAATTTGTCCATGTCTGGAAGTGAATGAGTGTAAGGAACGAGCGAAAGATGGACGAAAGCGCTGGAGAACGAACGCAGCCTACAGACCACCCTCTTGATGAGCGATGTGCCTTAAGTACTACAACGTGAGCTTCTTCGACGTTAGGTTCAGCTGTCTCCGGTCTAGGTTCCGGACGCCATGGCAGCCACGCAGAGAGCAGCACATGTACACAAGCTGGGGACTCCCATGGCTAGGGCACGTCGCGTGGAAGAATCGCAAAATACGGCAAACCCCCCTCCAATAGCGACGCATAAAATAAGGAATTGAGTGCAGATCGTGCGTGAGTCCCTGCAAAGCTTACGGCAATGGGCCCGACATTTGAGGGGAATTGACGCACACCGTCGTAAAACTATATGGTTTGCTGGAATGGGTATTTAGCCTGGATAGGATAGGGCGAGTCCAGTCTTGGAAACGGTACTTGAGTGCCGAATTGCAGGACTGGCAGTCCCGATACCCGAAGGTTTTTCAGACAGGCAGTGCGTATGATTGTCAGCGACGGTCATGGTGGGGCGCTGATGGTGGGACCGAGTCGGAGTCCGATTTCAGGGGAAAAAGCATGTCTGTGGCATTAAACTTCTGGGCCATGCGAAACGAGGTGCACGCACAGATACGCTAGAGAAGTATATGTATGTCGCTGGTAATCACGATAATTGCTGAAGCGAGAGTGGATGTTCAGCCGGATGCAGGCGGATGCAACAATCGTGGTGATGCGAGAAGGATACGAAGAGGCTGCATGCACGGCTGTGGCGGGCTGGCTGATGGTGGACGTTGCCGTATCACGTTGACGTTGCATGGAGTCGTGGCGGAAGGATCGGAACGCGTGGGTCCGTGCTTGTTCGGTTGCTCCTTCTACCTCCTACCTGGGCATCGGAACCCAGGGATAAACAAACAGTGGACGACAAGCTCACACCGCCGCCACATCCGACGACGCCGCCGGTAGCCGACCACGACGGCTGCACTCACCATGGACTCGTACAATCTCAAGACGGCGTCGACGTACATCAACAATTTGCTGCTTGCGCGGGGGTTGTTGCGCAATGGCACGCCCATTGAGTTTGCGCATCCGTCGAGGGGAGAAGGGGGGAAAGAGGCCACCATGGCCCAGATCATCAACCTGGTGCACGACCTGATATTGAAGCGCGATGTAGGCACATGCACGTTTACATTCTGGTGGAGAGGGTCCTAATGAGCAGATAGCGCGACCAGGAGTACCGCGAATCCATCGCCGACACGCTGCGAAGCCTGCGCGCCGAGTCGACGCGCCAGACGGCTGCCCTCGAGAAGCAGCACAACCGCAATGCCGACCTATCGCGACAGCTCTCGCTCGCCCAGGCGCAAGAGCAGTCGGCGCGCAAAGCCCTGCACACGGCCGAGTCGTCGGCGCGGAAGCTGCGCGCCGAGATGCAGCGCCTCAAGACGACGGTCGACCAAGTGCGCACCAGCTGCACCAACGACGTGCGGAAGCGCGACAAGGAGATCGCGCGGCTCAAGAGCCACCTGACGAGCCAGCAGCGCGGCAACAAGACGGGCCTTGTCGGCGCAAGCATCACCATCAACCCCGGCAGCACAGGCTTAGGCGTCGTTACGGGCCATGCGCGCGACGAGTCGCCCAATGTCGACGACCCCGAATACAGCCTGAAGCAGGAGACGACCGAGTTCTTGACGCAGCTGAGCCAGAGCTTGAGCGACGAAAACGACAACCTCATCGGCCTCGTGCGGAGCGCCCTGGTGACACTGAGAGAGCTACAAGGCATGCCCGAAGTCAATCGCAAACAAGACGGAGACGACGCCTCGGTCGCGGGCGACGAGCAGGACGACACGCAACAGGACATGTTGCACACGCTGCCTACCGATTGCGAGACCCTCGCCGACGACATGGACACGGTCTTGGACAACCTGAAGAACCTCCTCACAAACCCAAACTTCGTGGCAGTGGACGAGGTCGAGATGCGCGAGGAGGAGATACACAGGCTGCGGGCGGGCTGGGAGAAGATGGAGGCTCGGCTGCGCGAGTCTTTCCTCCTCATGGACTCCTGGCGAAAGCGCATGACCAATGGCGACACCATCAATCTCGAAGAACTTAGGATGGGGCTAGGGTTTGGCGAAGGGTTCGAGACGGTCGACAGGGAAGGATTCTCCGTGATTGACGAAGAAAGCGAGGCCGAGGAAGCTGCAAGCTCAGCGTTGGAAGAAGACGTCGACAATACGGAAGGGCAAGAGGAGGCAGTCTACCTGCCCTCACCCAAGCCACACGTGAGATCAGACAAGACAACTGGGCCCGATGTCTTCAGCATCAAGTTGCAACCCAGCCAGCCAGCGCTGAGGGAGATCAACAGCAACAAGTCGCCCAGTCGATCGCCCCGCAAAGTCGCCTTCTCAGCGTCCATACCGAATACGCCGTCTCAGGTGGATGGGGAGAACGCAGACACGTCTGGGATAGATCTAGTCGATGTGGAGAAGGCTAGTCGGCCAACCTCTGCAGCCAAACCACCTCGTTCTGAAGAACGAGCGTCAAGACCAACGAGTCAAGACAGACCACGCCATGTACGTTATGACATCTTCCCCTCTGCATCCCCTTCTTCCTCAACCCCTAGCCCACTCTCAGCACCACAGCCATCCCTCAACAAGTCTGACAATCTACGACAGACCAAGAAGCGCTTGTCGAGCCCACGTGCCCATCCCGACGAGCGATCGCCGAAGCTATCGGTCCAAGACAAATTACGAGAGGCCGCGGAAGCAGCCGCTGTAACCGACGGAGACATCTCCACCCAGAAGACGGACGAAAGCACCGAAGCATCTGAGGAAAACCCTAAGAAGCGGGCACCTAGATCTCCAGTCAAGACACGAATCAGCGGGAGGCCAAAGAGGAGAAAGAGCACCTTGACGCCAGAGGAGCTGGCAAATCTTTTGGGCTGCTAGACTAGGTTGGAGCGTGTGCGATACCCATGATGGCACCGTGAACTTGGACTTGAGAGCGACTCAAGGCTGCATCAGCGGCTGGCCATGCAAGATCATACCATCAACTGGCTTCCAGTCGTATACGAGGCTTGCATGTTGA